AAACTAAGGTATTAATATATTATCTTTTTCTCTCTCTCTCTCTCTTTTTTTTTTTTTTTTTAATATGCATGTTGCTTTATTTCTCCCCAAGTCTGTATTTCTCTTTTTTATTTCTTTAAATAAGATTTTTTCAAGAAAATGTTGGATTTATTTTAAAATGTTCTGCTTTTTTTTTTTTTTTTTTTTTCCTGTAGATTTCTGTAGCTTTATGCTGGTGAGTTGTTGAGTCCATCCTGCTGAATTTTCCAAACAGAGGAAGTGCATAACCTACATTTTTCACCATATTAGCTTTTGCCTTGTATCTTTTTCCGCAGTGGGATCAAGTGTGCTTCATTTTTGCTGTCAAGCAGCTGCCTTAGCAGCTTTTTCTTTCTTATGGGTTAAGACTGAACATTCCATTTTATGTGACTATATTATTAAAAGATAATCAGTGTTAAGCTAAAACTGCAGTTACAACAGCTAGCATTGAACTCAACAAGAACTGAGGACAATAGCTAAGGTAAACAGGATTTTTTAAAGCACATAAAGATCATGTAAGTCTTGTCAGGTTACTTCACTGAGTATTTTAGCATAGGATTATTTGCCAGAGCCCTTGAGTTTCAGCTAGCTGTTTATTATTCTTGAAAGAGTATGATTCACAGTTATTAAGACTGTCTAGCAAAAAGATCACTATCACATGAACTGGAAGGTGAGTGAATGACTACAAACCAAAATAATGATGAATGGCAGTGAACAGAGACAGGGAAGAGTGTGAAGACAGCAGTGTTTGAGGTGTCTTTGGAATCGTTACCATTTAGCAGCCCCATTACTGATCAGGAATATACATGTAAGAAGAATGAAACTTGAAGAATATTATAAATAAATAAGAGCACTAAGAACCAAGAACATCTGAATAAGAAGAGACAATAAATTTATTATGGGACAACTATCTTCACACAGGAGGTCCATTAGCCGTGTGTGCCCAGTACTACTTGCTTTTTTTACTGGCAAATCCTAAACAGGCTACATTCCAAAATCGAGGGCCTCTAATTTTTGTATCAACTGTATATGTTGTGATGGTTGTGCCCTTACACACTCCCCCAAAATAAAGATACCAACCACTGTGAATTGAAAACTTAGGTGAAGAATTTCAGCATGGCAGGTGTTTCACATGCTCTAAAAGTGTACCCACTCAACAGCTGATCAGCCCCAAATCAAGAAAGCTTAAAAAGTGATAAGCTTGTTCAAAAAAGCAAACAAAAAGAATATCCTGAAACTCTTCCTCTCTTGTTCTTTTGGTTTGTCAGGAGGTCTATGGTTTAGATGCTGTTTTCCCAGTGTAATTCTACTCAGATCTTGAAAAACAGCCAATTGTAACTGGTGCCAGTGATGTTTTCCAAATTATTTTCAAAAGTGGACCATGCAGCATTAATTACAATATTTGCAGAAAATACCACCCTTGTGTATATATTAAAAAGAAAATAATTCAAAATTGTTGGGACAATGATACTGATTTTTTTTTTTTTTTTTTTTGAGTTGTTGCTGTGATCTGAGGTGCTAGGAATAATAGTCAGTAGGACTATGAAGTTGCCTGTCATGACACTTCCACGGTAAGGGCAAACATAATATCCGTTCATCTTATCTGGACTGGGTTTAAGTAAATAGCTTTCATTCTGCATGCTTTCAAGATCAGATATTAGGAAAAAAAAATCTAAACTACGCTTATAAGAAAGGAAATTCAACATCCTTCACTAGTATTATAGATATGATCCTGCAGTTACAATTCCCAAGGACATTGAATGAGTATGGAGCAGTGACTGGCATGAGGAACTACTCTTCAGCTGGAGTTAGCTGAGCATCTCTAAAAATCTCTCTGGTATTTACACAGAAACATCATTATCAGCATATGCAGATAAAGCCTCCAAATGTGAACAATGTGAAATCTTTTTTTTTTTTTTTTTCCTTGACAAGTACTAATCAGACAACTGCCTTTGAGACAGTGCACTGTAGCTCTTGCCTTTTTTTTTTCTTTAATCCTAGATTCCTGCAATATCATGACCATCTTCTTGAGCCACACTTATATTTAACATAATGCTTATTTTGAACCTACATCTTTTCTCAAAGAGATTGCAACATCTTGCTAGAGCTTAATACATGGAAACACTCATACTGGTCCCAAACAGTGTCTGTCTAGCACAGTATCTTGCTCAGCAGTACCAATCAGCGAGGGGCTGAAGGATGACCATGAAAAAGACAGCAAGATAAAAATGAGCTTTTCATTGATGTTTCTTCCTGGTATCCAGCAACCAGCAGTTTAGGGACTTCCTCTGCCACAGATTGCTTCTGAGTAAATAATCTACATTAGATTTTTAGCCATGCCTCTAGCTGTGATTATAAAACCCCTAAAGCCAGTATAATATTGCATGCAGATTTTGGAGTTTAAAAAAATGTTATAAAACAAATCAATGGAATTTTATGAGGTAATTCACTTTTATTTCTATTTGTTTCAAATATGTGTACCAAGCTGATACCTTTCACCAAACATCTGGGGAAAAAAGCCTCCACCCTTTTGCATCCCCTGGGGGAGTGCTACAGTCTCCCTAAGAAAGGAGCTGGGAGAAATTTGCTCATGCCAGTATTTTCTTTCCACTTCCACATCCACCAGAAGAAGAAGGAATAGATATTTCATATATGCTGCTGATGGGGTTTATGCAGTACTCCAGCAGTTTTTCCTAAGCCTTTAGATGATGATGGAGAAGATCAGACTAAGATCAGCACACTGCCTCCATGACTTATGAAAAAACATGCTGCACTGATAACATTTAACACTGTTCTCTTCACAACTCCTCAAATGTACCAAAATTATCATTAAGATATTCTGGCTGGCTTTATATTTGACTTCCTGGTGTTTTGTTCCCTTGCCGCTTACACCAGATTTGCAATCAGAAATAACACAGTAAAAATCCACTCTGTTTCCCTTTCTGGGGTGTTTGTTGTTTCTGTTTACTGCAACTTCCCCAAACACAAGCAGGGCCCCCGACATATTGGCTCCCCAGGCTCCCTTCCAGCCCTGCAGCTAGCACGGCCCTTCCCAGCTTTTTTGGACTACGTTGACTACGAACGGCCCTGCTTCCCTGTGGGCAGAGGCTGCGGCTGGCCCCTCGCTTCGCTGGGGGGGTGTTTTCACTGCCTGCCCCATCAAAGCCCCCTCTGTTATGGGAACGCGAGGCCGCTTCCTCCAAGGCGGAGGCCGCCGGTGGGAGGCCGGGATCAGCAAGGCGGTGCACTGAGAAGAAACGTCCCTTTGTTCAGCTGGGACTGCTGCAGGCCGCTGCTGCCCCCCGGACAGCTCTCAGAGGGAAGCCCCCAAGCTCAGTGGCCCCTCCAGGCAGTGGAGCTGAAGCCCGGACCTGGGCTTTCGCCCCGGCCCCCATCCTGGCCCATGGCCTCCACCCTAGCACCATCACCAAGGGCATGAGCGTGGCCTGCAGGGCACAAGGTGCTTGGCCACAGCCCTGGCTAGGCCAGGGTGTGGTACCTGCATGCTGCTTTGAACAGCCACAAGCCTTCATATGTCTAGGATAATCCTGTTTATTGTTGTTGTTGTTGTTGTTATTATTATTATTATTGTTGTTGTTATTATTATTAAATGGGGGTCTGCCACAAAATTGAAGAGAAGGCCTGGTGAGACGGATGGATTTGGTGCTAGGTTCTTGCACCAGGCTTTGCTGGGTTTGGGCGTTTCCAGAGTGAGGAGGGCAGATGAGCTGCCATCTGTGTTGGTGGTGCAGCCTGAGACTTTAATACATGGAAATGATAAAAGCTTAGCAGGGTCCAGGCTGACACACGGTTACACTCTTCCATTTAGCTCTTGAGAAAAGAGGTGGGCAGAGCGTTGAAATGAATCTGCAAGACCAAGTTGCCTGGGTTACCCGTGTTCTCTAATTTAACAGAATTTAGAGGTCGAGGAAATGGGCATACATTTCCTACTGCTGATGGCAGATCAGGCATCAAGAACTGTGGCTTTTTTTATTTTTTATTTTATTTTCTTTCCCAAGTGAAGGAAAAACAGCTACCTTTGCTTTAACATAGATAACATTATTTGTGCCCCAATTTGCCAAGCTGTACTACATCATCAACACTGGGCTTTTTTATTTAATTATTTATTAATTTATTTATTTATTTATTTTAAATAATGGTCATGTTTGGAGATAAATCAAATGCAACACATTTTGTCTGCAGTTTTAAGATGCAAACTTTCACATGTATGCCTTATGTGCCATTGGATTTAGGGGGTTAAAGCCAAATATTGTGCAGATTTTAGACTTTTTCAGGGAGTTGTTTTGTTTTTTTTTCCTTATGTGAAATGCACCACAATTCAGAGATTTCTGCTGCTGGAGGGACAATTTGGCCCAAGGAGGGATTTAGAAATTTGAATGTAAAGACTTGGGGCCATCAGTCTCCTGACTTTAGGGTCATGTGGCGCCAGCAACGTGAGCAAGGCGTGTTCTGTATTTGGGGTGTAATGAGAGAAGCAGGACTTGTTTTCTGGATTAATAATTCAATTGGAAGTTGGGGGTAAAACAAAAACACAACGGGATCCTGTTAGGTCCAGCTGTTTCCACCCCTGCACACCCCCGCCTTTCACGCATCACTTTCTCCCTGTCTGAAAGCATGTTCCCACCCCCGGAGGTAATGGCAGGGTGGGGGCAAACACTGAGCGGGGAGGCTGGAAATGAGCAGAGGCAAGTGGTCAGAAGTATCACGTTTCTCAGGGTGTCACACACCCTAAATTCAATGATCCCTTCACGAGAAGCACCACTAACAACTTTTCTCTAACTTTTTTTTTTTTTTTTTTTTTTTTTTTTTTTAGCTCAGGACTTGTGTGCGGTGCCAGAGGCTTTTTTAGGTGCAGATCTGGGAGGGCAGGAGCTAAGGGGCAAGGACGTCGGGGCAGGGACCTGGAGGGACAAGACAGCGTGCTGGGACGCTCTGTGAGTGAGAGAGAGAGAGAGAAAGAGAGAGAGAGAGAGAGAGAGACCGCGTGTGTGGGGTTGTTTTTTTCTCTCATTCCTGGGGTCTGAATGGAAAGCACGTCGAGCTGTAATTAAGACATCTTGGAGGCGTACTTAACTTATGACGTGTTGCTTTTCTTTTCCTCTCGGTGAGAAAGTGGCTCTCTCTTCTCTGAATCAGGTCCTCTGCCACCCAGAGCCACAGAGAGACAGTCGGGACATAGGCACACACACTCACACGCTAACTTAAGGTGAGCACCATAAACTTTTTCTGCACTTCGCTGTCCTCTCTTTCAAACTGTTGGAGAGTTCTGAGAGCATCTTAACTCAGGAGCTCTGTGCAAGGTAAAGAAACTATCGAACTTTTGGGAAGCTTTTTACTCCTTTATTGCTTTAAGTCGGATGGGGATGCAGTGAGCAACGGCTGTAGCATCAGCTGCAGGGCTGTACTGAAAGGATTTTCAAGTGATCTAATTTGGCAGCTAAGGTGGGGGGAGAGGGTGAAAGACGGATTGAAACTGGCTAAATTTGATGCTTTTAAGTACTCAGTTGTTACCAAAGGAGAGATCATGTTGCAACTGCAGATTCAGACTGAAATAGAAAAGTTGTATACCTCTGGTCTCCAGCTTCCTCCTATGGGATTATACATTTCTCAGAGATTTGTCTTTCTTGAAAGATTTCTCCACCCAGTTAGATGTTTTTAGAAGTTTTTAGGGCATAAGAAAAGGAGGACGTTAGACTGAGCAAGAATTTCAAGGGCTGAAACTGGATTTCTATAAAACACAGACCATCCAGTTGGAAAGAAAAAAGATTTTGATAAGACATGATATATTATATCCTGATGTCATATTTTTTTCTGTTTCTTGTCAGAGAAAGCCTGAACAACATTTGGCACAGGTTTCTGTATCACCTCTACCCTCCGAGACAGTTAGATGGCAGAGCATTTTGAACATGTTAGCTGGTCCATCACTATGATAACTGTATCATCTTACTGCGTGTTTATTTGCTTTTCGGTCAAATACCTATAAAGGTGTCATGCAGACTGTTTGTCATAGCAAAATGGCTTGTGCGTCAAGTTTAGACGCAAAGGGTTGGAAAGCATTTGCAAGTTTGAATTGAGGGGGTTTATTACTATTTGTGTGTCATTAGTAAGGGTGACTAACTACTGCCTGGATCTTTCAGGGGAGAAAATATTCCCAAATGTTGCTGTGTGATGTCATAAAACTGATAAAACTCCTGCAGGAGGCTCTGGGAACCTGGCAATGTGTGCAAGAGAGTCCTGTGGATTATTGACAGTGATGACATTGTATTAATGATTAGCAAGACTGTTTTAGTGCCTGTGTGGAAAGAAACCCATTGTTTTGTTAGGAAAATGTTGTTAAGAATATGTATGATGTGGCACTTGAAAACAGAGGTGTAGTGCGTCTGTGTAACTATGGATACACACCCTCTCAATAAATAAACACTTTCTAGAGAGTGAGCATTTCCAGCACGTGGAGAAATGCATCATAAACAGGAAAATTATTATCAGCTCCTATGAAGTGAGAACCGGGAGTCAGCAGTCTCATGCCAAGGAGTGTCATGCAGAATGCCAAATCCTTGTGCTACAAAGAGACAGCTCATGCTTCCTTGGTTTTTCATATCTAATGGACGCAGATCTTCACCTCCTGTAGAGCATAGCTAAGTGGAGTTGCTCTGAATGCATTAGCTGAGACTCCAATCTGTATATACTTACCTGTATTAAAGTTATCAGCAAGCAAAGAGGGAAAATGGAAAAAAAAAAAAAAAAAAAAAAAAAAAAAGCAGGAAGGAACAGAAAGAAAGAAAAAGATTAATCTGTAATACTTTTGAACACAGCAGTTAAAGCAAAAGGGAAAAAATAATTTTGGAGAGAGCAGCTTTTTCAAGTTGAATAATAAAAATGTCGAGGTAATAATCAAGACACTCCCGATACGTTCTGAAAATGTGCCAAACTGCTTGTCTTCCTAATAAGATCCCTGAATCTCTAAGCAGATGCTAATGGAGAAGAGAAAAAAAATCCATGTCATTATGAGAAGAAGTATTATCTATAGCAATGTCCTATTCAGGGACATGACTGACAGTGTAATTCACAGCAAAGCATCCATTCATTATAAACCTCACAGGTTTGGTTTCCTCTCATTTTCAGCCAGCATGGTTAAAACAACTAACAACTTCTAAATAAAACAAAATAAAATAAAACAAAATATGTAGTAGTACTAAGGCTTGAGGTTGTGTGAGAGAGGTTTCAGAAAAGAGTGTCACGTTCCTGTAGCATGCTGCAGTGCATCTTTGTTTTTACGATTTGTGACAGGGTAAGAAAAGCATTTTCTACTGCATTGAAAGCTCCCCAGTCTTTCTGATTTTATTCTGAAATATGACTAAATGAAATGTCATTGTCCACCGTTGGTCACAGTCTGGAACCAAAGTACTGGTATCGATATTTACTTAATCAAGTCACTTAACCTCCTGGCCTCCCAATAAAAATCAGGAAATAATATTGACCAAGCTTAAAAAGTTCTTTGAGATCTTCAAAGGAAGAGTGAGTTTGTAATTGTTTATATTTAAATGTACTGAAAGTTTTCCAAATCAGTGCAAGGATTAAAGAGTGAGACTTGAAATTAGTATTTTCAGCTTTTCATATGCCTTTGCACTAAAGCAGTGGTTAAGCTACTCTTGGAAGTTGGAATACCGTGCATTTCTATGTTTCATTGTAAACCTGACAGTGTATTTCACTACTTAAAACTCCCTGAAAATGAACAGTACTTTTTTTTTTTTTTTTTTTTTTGAGGTCGGGGTGGAGGGAATCATTTTCATATTACAAGCTGCTTCTGTTGCTTGTGAGGAAGTATTAGACATTCTGTCTCTGCTGTTAGTAACTGTAGTGTACAGTACTTCACTTGAAAAGGTAGCTTGTAATACGTAGGTAACAAAATGTTCTTTGGGGTAAAAAAAAAAAAAAGTCTGAATATACTTAGGATTTCAATCAATAGCGTTTAAGGAGGATTAGAGGAAACAGCTGGCTAAACAAATATTAGGTGTAGAGTGGATGCGGTGGTATAAATTAATAATGCAGTTCTTTATCTGCTCTATGAATGGGAGGTTTTGTGGAGATAAGATGACCTAAACACAGTCACTGTCTGCCACCTACTGGATATTGCGAATACTCTTTCCAGATAATTTTCTTCAATTCTGAACATCTGTAGCTAGTCCACGTGCAATTTAACTCGAAGTGGTTAGGTTTTTTTCGTTTTTACCATTAAAAACTATCAGCTAATTTTTTTTTCTTTTTTAAAATATATTTTTAAGGGAGGTTCTTTCTACTTTTTTAAAATGCATATTAGATCTGCTAAAACACAGTTCAGCTTTTATTTAACGTAATTTGTCACTAATATCTGTTTACAAGGAGTTGTTAAATCATTCAGTAACAAATTAACACTTAGCCTGACATACTGAGCTGTTACTGAAGAAAGTAAATAGTTGTTTGGTTTTTTTTTCTTTTTTTTTCCCCACAAATATTGTGGCAGAAGAATCCATGTTTTGCAATAAGGATTTCAAACCTCTTTCCAAAAGTCCTTTAGCATGTAGGATGTGCTGTTGTTAAGCCCCCTTTTGTTTTGTCTCTGGATATTTTGTCAAGAATAGATATGGAAAAAGAAAATGTCAAATTATTTGATGGCTGATGAAAGGTTATAAACCCTCTTCATCTCCTTTTTCTGTGCATGTCATCTACCTCCACCTTCTTCAGACCTCTCAGACACTTATCTCTTGGACTATTCTTTCTCTTCATTAGAGAAAGGAAAGTTGGTTTGCAGTGCACTGCACTGTTTATTCAGTAGTAGGTGTTAAGGTGCTGTCAATTCTCATAGCTCTAAAGAATCCAATGAAACTACATGATTTTAAGCAGACATACATAGACCTGGATGTATTTTGTATCTGTTCATGCTATGTGACGAGCTTACCTGCTCCCTCCCTATATGCTTTTTTGAAACTTCACCATCATCACAGCTCCCACTGCAGTCATCTCCAAGGCACCTAAAAGAGATCTATGGTTCTATTATTGAAGTGCCCCAATAGCTATGTCACTGTAGACCTTAAAATAGTTGGCAAAATCAAGTTCCCTGTGCTTCGCTCCCCACTTATTCTCATCACTGTCTAAAGAGTAAATCAAATGGGAACACCGTGCTCAGCAGAACAAAGGATTTCCATGTTCTTCTCATTCATTTAGCTTTGAAAGTGCACTTTTGTTGTTGTTTGTTTCCTTTTAATTAGTACTACAGAGTGGAAATCTTGAACATGATCAATGGCTGTGAAAACAAACACTTAAAATATGCATTAAGAAATCTCAGAGCTATATTCTGTCTGAAGACTCCACTGACTACTTCAAAAACTTTTCTCAGGAGTTACACGAGATATTTCCTTAGGAGGTTGTTAGCATGATGCATGAGTTAATGGCTAAAGTGAGCAGGAGCTCTGCCTTTCCACTAGTCAGACAAAGCTTACAAATGAAAGGAAAGTAAAATTCCACAGCAGCAAAAAGGCTAATTGATTTGATGCCATGTTTTTTAGGGTAGCTATCTTTTGTTTTAACTCTGCCTGACATGGTATGGTGAATCACAGGAGCTGCTGAGGGAAATCAAGCCCAAACAGCATTGCTGAGAGCCTTTGTAAAGCTGCAGAATCTCTCCCAGAACAAAGCTTTCCACTAGAGCCTCCAGCACACAGAATCACTTCCACTTCCCAGAGCAGGGCATATCAGATGTTATGGCAGAATCTACATCATTAATTGTCTGGCATAACAGAAATGAAGTCATGACACCAGAAGAATGTGGCTGGATAGATGTCTCTTGCCTCAAAAAATGTCATCTTGGCATTTGTCTAGCACCAGAAGACCATTATCTTGAGACAGCTTTCCATTAATAAATTTTTCTAATTACTTTAAATGCTTACAGTCTACAAGGAACATATGGGCAATAGAGACAGGTTAGACACGAAATGTGTTTGACAGAAATCTAAGTAGCAGAAAACAAATACTTCAAAATATTCCTGAGGGAAAAGAAGGAAGAGTTACTTAGAGTAGTTCAAATTTGGCTTTAATCACTTTTGGTCTTTCACAAGTAGATGTTTTAAGCTTTTTGTTTGTTTGTTTGTTTGTTTTTGTTTTTGTTTTGTTGTTATGGTATATCATGTTAATTTAAACTGCTTATGTCATGGTAGTTAACATAAGGTACCATTTTTTTGAAGCCTGATCATTGAAAATCAATGATGTTAAATGGCAAACTGCTGGTGATTTGTAGTATTTAGCATACGGACTGTTATCCTCCATT